CGTCATGCACTAGGGCCGGGCTAGTTATGTGAGTAGCTCAAATCAATTTTTTAGTTCGTTTCAATTTTTTGCTCAAAGATCGACCATGCAAGTCCATTGATCTGATGGGGCCGACCAACGACCTGAGCCAATGGCTCGCTGACGGTATGTGGCACTAACGAGTCAGGCAATGTATACGGGTGATCTAGCGTGAAAATATGGGGAACGCCCTGAAGTCACTTTGCTTTTTCGATGTTGCATCATCCCCACTCTGGCTCCGTACTACAGAGCACTATTGTGTTTCTCCTTCTCCCATCTACATCTATATACTATCTTCAACAATGAAAGAAATATCCGTTTCCAAGGTTCAAGGCGGGTCAACGGTTGTTCCCGCCCAGTGGGGCCGGAAACAAAGAAGTCATGGCTGCTTCAACTGATGTTGATCGGGTTCCTGGTAAGGAGCAAGGGGTGTGAGTAAATGAGCCATATAGCTACCTAAGGGGGTGAACGGAGTACAAACGAAAGGACATACTATTTCCAGGCTCGGTTCATAGGTCGGAGCCATATTACCCCCCTCCAGGGCATAGACCAATCCAGTAACTAAGCCGAAGTTAAGGTCTGGACTAGCTTGTCCTCGTACTTTTTCCCCTCGCTCGGCCTCTCACTCTGACTCTTCCTCTTGCTCTTTGACCTCCCCCGTACAGATGTGGAGTGAGGCTATTGCCTAATCCGGTTACCCCCAGTCACGCTCGGAGAACCCCCGAGAGAAGACTTGCACGCCGCCAACAGTGGACACGAGGAGATGATGTCTAACCGGTGTTCGCCGCATAAGGGAAGCCCCGCCAGGCACCACCGGAACCGCTGCACGACAATTGGGCCGACGATGCTGTATATACCAATCAGCGACACTTGAACAGATTTCTGAGCCTTGCGCAGCACACTAGTCAGATCAGTAAAAATTTTCGGCTTCCACCTTCCTACTACTGGTTGTACTCCGTACGGAGTACACAGGCTCCATTCAATTCTTCCAATCTCTCCAATGAAACCATTCAGAGTAAGCTTTTTGTAGCCTTGCACATACTTGTATAACCTATAGGAAAAGAATTGACTTCGCTTCAAGCTCCACTCGCTTAGCTTCGGTTCGGTTCGGCCTCTTTCAGCTCCAACTGCCCATAGGAATAATCGGAATTTCGTCGGCGTTGATCATGAGGTCTCTGGGCCATTCGGGATTTAGTGGAAAACTATGGATATCTGAAACATGTCTCTTTTGAGATAATATGACGCACGACATGCGAAATAAGAGACTCATAGCATTTTGTGGCTAGTATCGAGCAAACGCTCGGACTACTCTTATGCGGCCTGACAAAACAGGCTAAACTTCACCCCTCTGAATATAGCCACTGAACAAACATTAATGAGGTATTTAACCAACTAACTAACTAACTAGTTGACTAACTAACTAGTTACCTGGACTTAGTAAGAGGGTTCAAATGTATCATGCGATGCTGGTTTTTGTTTCTCATACGACAGGGGCTGGCTATAGTGTGATCGGCATCCAGCTGGTGGATTGTGGATAGGCAATCTCGAAATTATTCATGAGGTTCCTCTTTCTTTTCTCCCAGATCCCTCGAGCTTCCTAAGAGCCAATTATGACCCAGAGGAATGTGCTTACTTCAATCGTGAGAGTTGAATGCTCCACGTCTCAACGTTTTCGGATCCAGGACATGAGCCCAGAACCCCAGGTTGTATATCGGCCCAGCTTAGCAGCCCAAAAAGCGGGACTGGTTTTTTTTTTTATGTCATCCGATATGTATTCGTTGACATCTCTTGGTGATCTTGTATAGTCTCAAGGTATTCAAAACTATACTAGATAGGAGAGTAGGCTTAGAGGCATCAAGACTATTATCCCATCGGCAATAACACCTGAATTTTAGTCGCAGTCGGAACATGTTCTCTCGCTATGTTGACCGTGCCATAATCCACCGTCTCGGCCGTATTCGATGGATCTCTCAAAGTCAGGAAGCATCCACTTGGTAGCGGGAGTCACGAAGCTCAGACTAACAGATAATTTGTGAAACATGACATAGTGTCTACACTACGGAGGACAACGGTGAAATATAAAATGGCATCTCGGAAGGTTCACGATTTTGGAGATCTGGAAATAATGAGTATATGTGCCATTCTTGGGTGTACTTGAATTCATACAGACTGTTTCACCGTTTCGCAGCGAATACTCAGATTACTCTTTGAAGTTATACAGGGGCCAGAATATTTCACAGTTCTGGAGCTTTTCGTACTAGCTGTGAGACTAAAGACCGAGCTTAGATGCTATCCAATGAAAACGACAGCATTATATATCGACATCCTAACAGATGGCAATATGTTTTGAACCTCTTTTTTTCGCATTGACATAACCCAATATTATATGTATCACAAGGAATAGTATAAGTTCACGGTCCTTCTTAGGCTCTTGCTTTATGACTATGTAGTTGAAGTCGACCAGATAGACTAGGAATTATATTGGTTAATTCTCTTGCGAGCTAGGTTACCTGTTTCTCCTTGGTGACAATCGCATTACTCTGGTTCATGAGCGAGATTTCCTCATATAATTTGAAGGATGTAGCACCTTCCTATCTCAATTAATATCCTAGAAAATAAGCACAACGCCAGTGTGTTGTGATTTGTCCTGAATGGTAGGTTCATGAACTTCGTTGACAATTGTTGTGACAGCATTGACTTCGAGTAAAGCTCGTATCGGAAGCAACTGGATCGATGTATCCATCGTTGGTGGTCCAAAACAAGCATCAAATCCAGAATCATCCCGTTTGACTTGGTCTCTATCACAAAATGAACCCAGGCGTACCAACTGTCATTCCCGATGCCGTATACCGCATGTAGTGGGAATTCGAGGGTCCTATAAACCCAGACAGGGCTTCTCAACCAAGATAACCAGCTTCCATTTTGAAACCGCCGTTGAACCTAGATGTGAGAAATTACATCCCTCCACGAAGCGAATATCTAGGGACTTCTGGAACCAGGCATATCACGGGTGCCGATCTATACTACGAGTAATACCACCAGATAATCAAGTAAAAGGAGTACAGAAGTTATGGGCCGAGTAGATCTTCTAAGGTATTCTAGTTGAATGGTGACGCCGAGGATTGCAGCCACGGGATCCTGCAGATACTTCACTAGTTTATCAACGGAGATCGTAGCGCGGATACGTCATTTAAGGCAACACAATCTAACTGGGCAAGGCTATACTCAATGTAGGGAGCCCTTCCCCGAGTTTGTCTGCCGTGATCTATAAATATTAACCAGGGCTCTATCGACGTGTCTGTATCAGAATATACCTTGCCTATTTTGATGAGCCTGATCCAACCCTCACATATCTTCCCGAAGCAGTCTCAGAATACGAGGTCCAGCCAGGCCAAAATCCAAGCAAATAAAAGACCGCAGAATTAAGTTTTGAAGTTCTGCAGACTCCTTCAGGTGATTGGTATCATCGAATCGACAGATCAGAACTTCCTAATGTACAAGGTATTCCTAGGCGAGAGATGGGCATTCGGCAAAGCTGCCTCTGCATGACCATCATGCACCTACCCGGCCCGGGGAGAACTCAGGGGCAAAGCCTCGTAAATGATTTCATTCCTTGGTGTTCTTGTTCTTGTTTTTGAGGCCAATGTTATAGCTCACACCGAATGAGATTTAATTTCTCTCCCGGTGTAGGCATTGGGGAATGATAAGAATAGCTAGGTCTCAAATAGAGTTGAGCTAATGGCCAATGAGATCTCTGAGGAGGTTTGACAATTACCTTGTTCCCATGGAGATCGTCCCAGACCAAGAGATTGGTTGAAGCCGGCGAATAGCTGATGCATTTGGGCGCTTTCACTGTTTCCCTATGCAGTTTGTAGACTTCTCTTTGGCATTTCTTTCTCTCCTCTCGCAGGTAGCTTGCCGTATTGGCAGTCTCTTTATCCACGTGCAGAGATGTTTCTTCTAGATTCTGGAGGATGAGATCTTTGTGGCTTTGTTCGTATGAAGCTCTTTAGAGAGCTTCATGGCAGTAGCTAGATCATCACGTTTGGTTGATCACTTATCTTCTACCACGTAATCTGATACGTGCATTAATAACTAGCAGCGTAAGGAATGGATTTCAATTCTCATAGGTTGATTCGATGATTCGAGATGGGCATGATCCGCGAAGGAGGCAGCCATTTGTAAGATTGTAAAATGGTCAGGAATGTCGAACGAACGTTGCGTATTCACTTTAGGAGGGACACTATGATCACAAGGTACGACGTCCCATATAGATCAGTGATTACGACACTATTACTGGTCTTGGATATCACTTTCTCATTCCCATTGCCCAGACGCCTGAGGTGGAGTCCTAGGTAACACGGGAGTCCGAGGAGTCGTCGGTTATTTGGACGTCAAAAGAAGCTAAAGCGACATAGCTCGAGCTTGTCAAAGTTGATGATTGTTCAGGCTTACCATAGGAAAGTCAGCATGCAGAGCTCCGTACATAGATACATGAAGTATGTGACGCGAAAGCAATGAGAGTACGACGGATTCCAAGCCAGTTCTCAGGTGTCTACACAGATACGTCTAAGTATACGGAGAGCACAACGCAAAGTTATAGATGGAAAAAGCAAGTCGATTGACAAGACACAGATAGCCCATTTAGAAATAAAAGCCGTATCCCAACCGTGTAGACCGATCCCAATGCATAATATGAAAAGGCTCCATTGAACCCGTATCCATGACCCGATCACATAAAAGCAAGAATTCGAATTGCCCCGACCCATGCAAGATGCTAATAATGACAAATACAAAGATAAAACAAAAGGATATCACTGGAACAGCAGCAAGACTCCCTGGAGCCGCAGCAAATAAAGAAACATAGACATGAAGATAAAGTGTGAGGTTAAGTTGGGCATCAACCCTGTGAGCGGGTTGGGGTTAAGATAGATTTTTTTGTTTCATTGAGTGAATCCATCAAACAACCTTCATCGAGCGATTCATGCGATGAAGGCGCGGTCCAGCTGACGCAGCGCTCTCGTATCCTCGCCTCCGAATCCGATCTTCTCATTAGGGATATCCCGTGGCCCGTCGGCGAAAGAGCTCTGTGCGGGGTTTCCATTCAAGCTCGTGGCGGGGCCACCGGGAGAGGCAGTCGATGGGGGGAAAGGAGCCAACGCTGCACCATTCATCAATGAGCTGATGCCAGGAACTGCATTTCCAGTACTCGCAGGATCGGAAGATTTCGGTGATGTGGCAATGGGGTTGAGAGAGGACAACGCGGCAGGATGCTCCTGCTTCACTAGGTGAGGGCTGTGGACGTGTCCATTTGACTGCGTCAGGGACTGGACTGGCACGCGTGGTGATGCCATACGAGGATCAACTAGATGTCCGTAGACCGGTGCGTTGCGTTGCTCGTGGGCATGGGCGTGAGCGTGTGCGTTGGCGTGAGCTTGAGCATGAGCATGGGCCTGAGCTTGAGCGTGGGCGTGAGCATGCTCATGTATTGATCGCGGCGACCGGTTCATGTAGCTTGGTTGTTGTGGTGGCGGTCCAGCTGGAGGTAATGTTGATTCCATATGTGGTCGATCATAGGGGCTGGTCATCCCGTGTGGAGGGGGTGGGAGTCCACCATGTTGATGCGGAGGCTGATGGTGTGGTGGGCCATAATGAGGGTGTCCGTTGGCACCAACCGGGGGGAGATAAGAAGGACCAGGCCCATATTGAACCGAGACAGTCGGTGGGGTGGCCAGAGGGGTGGGCGGCCAAGCATAGGCAGGGGGGTATGGCTGTGTATGAGTGACGCGTGGGTATGCGCCGAGGGGATGCGGAGTTATTGGGTAAGCAGCGCCTGGCATAGGTCCACGGGTAACGACAGGGAGATTTTGTTGATCATTAACTGTCGACTCGGGATAGAGACCTTTCTGGGGTCGGACATGACGCAGGGCAGGATCGGAAGTCGGTTGTTGTAAGTTGGCGGCAGAAGGATGGGAGCGTGAATAATAGCTGATCAGATGCAAGTGTTGACCGTTGGATGTCGTGATACTGAAAGACTGCTTCATCAAACCATCTGGTTTGTAACGGTACCCATCCGGTCCCTCATCTGTTCCATCGGCGCGCTCATCGTCACTGCCTCGACTCTCCGGCGTCTTGCCTCCGCGGGAGGCAGAGCCTTGAGAGACACTGCCACCTCCGCGTTTGCCTTCCATTTCACGATAAGTCAAGAAGCTACCAGATACACGACTGGCGCTCCATGACTTCCCATCGGTCCATCGCCGCATCCCCGCTTCTCGCTCATCCCATACGAAGACCGAACCGGAACGGATGGACTGTCGCTCTTTCTCTGATAATCGTCGTTGCACGCGAGGTAAAAGGCCGATGCGGCAAGCCTCGAAAAGAATAATAGCGTCCGCAGGCGTGCGAACGTGCCCGTAATACGTCTCCATCCAAGCTCTCGAGTCAACCGACGACCCCGGTTGATTTGATCTGATTGCCAGGTTGAAGGATAAAGGGATTTTTAAGGGTAAATGGAGTACGAAAAGTGTCTGAGAGGAATGAGTTAGATCTAAGGGAAAAGGAAAGAGGCGCAAGTGGAGAGGACGAAAATAGGGTTCAGGTCCAAATATAAAAGGAACCAGGATCCGAGTCAGTATGGGGTAAGCCTGGAAGCCAGCGTGGGTAAGGCCGAGCTTTGAGCTCAAGACGGCTAGGCTATTCTTTCATTCTTTTTCTTTTTTTTTTGGACCGATTCAAGATTCAAGGCTTTATCCCAAAATGGAAGAAGAGACCAGAGATTGTGGGCCAGGTGGGCTTGAAGGCATAAGAATGCCGGACAAGGGAGAGAGCCAAGGCTAAAAGGCACAAAGAGAGATGGGGGGCGACCTACTTTGATGACTCCACCGGGGTTCTGAAGGAATGGCTTAGCTGTTCTTGTCTCGGGAAGTGAATACCAACGAGAAAGAGAGAAAAAGAGAAAGCTAGAAGAAGAGGGAAAAGAGGAAAACCAAAAAGAGGAGATGTTCCCGCAACGCTTTATAAGAAACAATGAAGAAATCATAAAAAAGAAGGTTAAATAAGGGAAGCGGAGAGAAGAAGAGCGGGTCAAGCGATCCAAGCGAAAAGATCGAACGGAACTTGTTAAACGCCGAGATTCCAAGAGAATTATTTAATTTATTTTAGTTTCTTATTGGATTCGGTACACATGGAAATAATGGATCTGGGAAATCCACACGATTTATGCATGGGAACCTTGGAAAGGAGAGTTCTCGACATGGGGCTGAAGTGGCACGGCTATACAAAGGCTTTCAGATTGTGTAGCCTGTACGGAGTAATTATATGTTAGAGCTATCTAAGCACGTCATGGATCATAACTGTGAGTCTACAACCAAATTCAATATAATCAGTGACGGGGAGTGAACCAGTTTTCCGGGTTGGCTAGTTAATGCCATGCAACTCTTGGCTCGGCTTTACGGGGTTTGGAAACCCTTGCGAGTAAGGTTAATTTGGCCCCTTCACGGCTCCATTCCTGATAGATTAAATATAATAGGATCAACATTAATAAACAGAGAATCCTCCGTATGGTAAGAAACAAGAAAAGAAAACATTGGAAATGGTCTGTGTCAGAAAAGTGGCGCTCTGGTCACAAAAAAAGGTTAGTGCGGAACTCTTAAGCTTAATCCAACACGAGGAGACCGGCGCTGAACTTTATGCTCGCTTATAAGGCATCCACACCTCCACTTTGGGTATTTTCATTATTGGCAAAAGGGGAACTTTATCAATTCTATATTGTGGGACTTGGTGATTATGGACTACAACATACTTATATTGTAGGGTAGTCGTAGTCAATGTAGTATGTAGTCAACGGTATATATTACCTTAGATATTCAACCGGGTTATTGAAACACCAATTCAATTGCCATTCTTAAAGAAGAGTCCTCATAGTAATTTTCCACCTACCAGGGAATAGAAGCCCACTTGACGATCGGAATTTAGCAATAGGACCGAGGATAGCCATTGATTAATAATTATGTACCCCGTCGAAACATAGTTTGAGCGGTTACGTCCGATGTGGCCTTATCCAGCACCCTATCCCTTGGCAGGCAAATCCCATACGAGTCACATCCAAACAAGGTTGATCTTAGCGAATCTGACCCGGGACATTTAATTTATATCAGATATTCAATATCTCATAGGCTAAAAATGGTAAACCTAAGCCACAGTGGTCATATCCTCGTAACTCGTACTCGTATTAGGTCCAATGACGCAGTGTTTGGATTTTAACTGCGCTGACCACAAAGCTTGACAAAATCCTAGTCCAGATCAAAGCAATGATACGGGGAAAAGAAAACATAAACTAAACCGATGCAGTGTACTCCGTACTCCATATACATACGGAGTGTTGTAGATCAAGAAATCTCCGGGTTTCGGTCTCAAGGTCGGTCCTATTTTGTACGTATATTGTTTGCGTGCATAAAATGATGCACGGCGAGCTAGGCAGCAAGCCACGTAACATGATGAGTTACGACTGGCTATACTACGGAGTAGCCACAGGCTACATTAGAAAGTGCACTGCTTCACATCTGACTTATAACGTTCGTGTAGGACCAAGAACAATAAATAATGGCTTAAACTAACATGATCCGCCAACTACCAGGCGGTCGGCCAAAATATGATTCCACTGAATCATGTCTGCTGACACCTTGACTCAACGATAAGGTTAACTGGTCCGAGTCTGCGCTCCGTGCCGTTCATGTTCGCCGTGCAGATTTAGCCTTGTACCTAATTAGCCTCGCAGGTGGGTAGGGCCTCACATTCTAAATCCAATATTGGTACATTGCATACGTAAAAGGTGTCAGAAACATCTTTCTCATATTTGAACTTGCGCTATAACTCTATTCGGGATTCTGTCACGCACGGGCCGAATAATGCAAGCCAGCGAAAGCGTATCGCCAACAAACTCCCCCGTTGCACAAGGATCACTCTAATAGGGTTCGGGGAAGCTAGTCCAGCTTGGCAGCTGATTTTCTCCTTGGCTTCAGCCCATTTGAAGTTTAAAACGCTGGGGGGTCCATGTGTCTCTATTCCCAGAAAGCATGGCACGAGCCGATCATAGTGTCAGCGTACTTCCTACATACGTTATATCGCCTGCATTACATGTCTCACATGGCGCCGTCCTGTGTGACTAAAACATCACCGTCGTGACCCGGTCTTCCGTCTACCAGGTATACGGAGTGTGCAAGGTCGCACCGCTTTTTTGCTCTAGGTTCAATGGAATAAGAAACAAGGCTTGAGTGACCAAGCTATGGAAGATATAGTTTGGTGCGTATGATTGAATATGCAAGATATAAGGATTAGCGGACTAATACTCCGTACGATTATGCTGTGCTCTTGTGCCACAGTCAAAATTATTTAACGGTTAATGATAGGCTCTGGGAAATGATCGAGGTTAACTGGCAGGGTCCAAGTTTCAATCAGACTGATGCAGCTGATCATTATCAGAAAAAGCCGGAATCGTTACATTTTCACCTTGACATCGGCTCTATTTCCTTCAACGCTAAAAGAAGCATACCAACTCAGATCACTAAATGCATTCCCTTACCTGGAGCATGCAACCATACAATTACTTCAATGTTAGTGTAGAAGCTCAGGCCCCGACCGAATTTTCGAATTCCCAAGATCGCCTGGATCCACCCTTAACAGCCGTGATCCCGAAGTCTTGCTACATTGGGATAGTCTAGTGTCTCTCATTTGCCAGGTGGAAACCCATCTCCAGCTTATTAGGTCTACATCGCCCCCCCTTATCCACACCTAGGGCATAGTGACACCAATGTCTGGGTTCAGGGGTTTCTGCTCCGTAATCCAAGAGAGCTGCCATGCACTTCACTACTCCGTACTCCGTAAAGAAAAACAATATCGATTGCGTATGCTCTTGAGGTCTATCCGGTTACCCGGAGACTCCTTTTTTTGAGTGGGTCCAGCTCCACATCTCGCTAACTATATCTCACCAGCTGATAGAATACCCTTGCGGGATAAACCGACTGTTTCGCCGACCGTGGTTCATGTGGGCCTTCTGGAACTGTATTCGTTAGCTGCTAATCTATTATTAATGGCCTCGGGCTCCTTCGGATTGAATATATCAAGAGGTAACTCCGCTACACAGCCTTTGCTCATGAATAATCTCCGATTAGTGATCCGGTCTAACGTTATAAACCCCAAGTCAAGGTATCTGCCGTGTTTGATCTCTCCAGTCGGAGACCAGATATCAAATATACAACTGACACAAATCTATAATCGACTAGAAATGACGTGCGAGTAACTGTTTCTTGTATTGTCATGCATTCGTTGCAACCCTGGAATTAAAGGTTGCCAAGAACTAATTTTGTGAAACGTCACACGAGCTTATCTCCACTAGCATAATTAAAGTATCCATTGTCTAGATGAATAGAGAATATGCTGAAATGGCTTTTCTTCCTTCTTTCCTTTTAATTTAATTCAATTTATGGTTATGGTTATGTTTCATTGCATGGGGTTCATTTTATTCTGGTCTGTTTGTAATATTAACTTTATAAATAACATTCAACACATCATACTCCACGGCGGTCTAAGAAAAGGCAATGCACCGACAAATGCTGGTGCCTACATATTAAGGGCAAGAAGCACCTTGGTAACTCTTGGGGCCAAGAGCTTGTGAATGCCAAGCGGGTGCCAACCTTGAGTGGCTAGGCTGGCTGACAATGTCATCGAAGCCTAAAAGCCAGTTTTCTCATTGCGAACCATGGAACCTGTGGCTGCAGGTTTATGGTTAACGTTTCTTCCGTACCTTTATTTCACTTAACTTTACTTGACTTTACCTAGGCATTTCCAAGGTTCCAACTTGCTTGTCTTACATGACCATGTGGCGGAATATTATTTTCCTCGGGGAGCTGCTAGAACCGAATACGAAGGTTGATCTGTTTGAACTATGTAATATTGTCTTAGCTTGGAGTGTAACCTTGACCTAGGTTGTAATCATCCTGGATTATCAATTACCCTACCCGTGCATACTAAAATAATGGGATATTATTTGACTAGTTACTTATTATTACCACAAATCACATCTCCTGTAGGCTATCTGCAATGTGATACGTCAGACAGGGATGCCCTACTCAAGCGCACTGCCCGAACTTCTTTCTGCTTATGCTTAACCCTGGTAAGGTTGGGACCCCTTGGCCTGCTGATCCTAACCCCCTAATTGGCATGGAATCAGGGCTCATTTTATCAAAGTCAAATAGATTAATTCAAGGCTGTGTTGTAAGGCTGTACACGTCTATCCATAGCTGTAACTCGTTAATCTGATCATGGTCTTTTTATTATTAGCCATACAATCATTGGCTCTCAGAATAATAATAAGGACAAGTGGCAATCCAAACCTATAAATCCAAAAATGCTAGGCATAAATAAGCGAGGTCCGAAATAAAGTGACTCGTGAGTCAAAATACTCCAAATCCACTCGGAGGACCACGTTTTTTTTCCTAATGGGGTACGCCGAGATTCGATTGTCCTTAATTCCGTTGCCATATCCGCCTTGCTGTCCTATTTCCGAATCGCGGTACTGATATGCATCTACGTTGCCAATCATCAGCAACCTACGTACTACCCCAACTAGTGCCACGCCCCATTGTTTTTACATTTGGTCTGTGGGGCGCCTCGTTTCCAGACTACAGTGCTTGGCTTTGCTTGGGGTCCGGACCTCCGGTGCATAAAATCAGGGATAAGATCTGCCGTACATGGCCTCCGTATACGAGTATGGAGTACTATGCTCCGTACGGCAATATGCCACGGTCTACGGAGTATTGCGCAGAGCTACTCTTATCGTGAAACGATCGTCTACACTTGGCGCTTTGGTAATGCACGATCTATGCCTTATTTTTGCCTTCGCTAAATTAAACTCAGCCATTTTTCTTTCGTCCGTGCAGTGTTTGTATATTGTACGGAGTATATGTCGCACTCTAGTTCCTCTAGTGTCTGACTCCTGATTCCTTCGATGCTTAGCCCTGGACACGTCAAAATATGGAGTAAGCATACGTAGATCCAACTCTGGGCTCAGACTGGTATCATCCTGTTTTGATATCACATTACAAATGTCTCCCGTGTTTGGTATGAGGCCACTGGTGTCGGAAGTAATATTCTCTCGCAAGTCCGTAGCATTCCGGATTTTTAATTGTTTTGGCTTCTTCGACTGGCTGTCTAGGATGATCGGGCAGGGGCTAGATCCAATAATGTCATAATATTCACTATAACCCAGTAACCAGCTTCTTTTTCGGCCGACTATCCATTTGCCTGGAGCTCTGCGAAGTCACGATTTAAAGTTAAAATCTGACTAGCAAACAAGATAGGCTAAATCGGCATGGAAAGGTGGGGACATATGTAAATAAATAAGCTCTGCTCCTAGCTCTTACGGAGATAGTCCGACATCTACGGAGTATGAAGGTCGGAATTCAGTCGTTTTCGTCTTCTGTCTTTCCTTGGTTCCATTACGGAGTACTCTAGGACAATAAAACGCCCATGTGGTAAATGTCTTGCCACCGTGACCTTTGCCCTAATTGCGTAATGGTTAAAGGAGACTAATGTACAAAGTAAGCTGAGCCGGACACTACCGGTTAGCACAAGCCCTTTTTTTAGCTTCAGATGGTAAGAGACTTGTATTCTCACTAGTCGGATTTGGGCACATAGCGCGACGGAGGCTCCATTATGCGGATGTCTGCGGATAAGTGCCTGTCTTAGTTCCTATTCGGGAATCAATCGGCGACTTTATTCCTAGCGTCGTTGGGCCCCGGTTGATACTAGATTTATTGTCAATGGAGCAAATCCAGGCCCAGTCAAAAGTTGCACAGTAGATCAGCTCATGTCGCTTGCGGTTCCATGTTTCCAACTTTCCCTCTATTCAACTATTTAGTTTTCATGTACATTATTTTACATATCTATCGTACACTGGGTGATACCTCTGATAAGTCTCAGCAATCAGCGCGACCGAAGTATCGCGGGAAGGATACAATATCCCGAACGCTGGAAACACCAGTCAAATATCCGAGGAATCGATCAAACCCGAGCCCAAAGCCTCCATGGGGAGCAGACCCCCAGCGTCGGAGGTCAGCGTACCATTGGAGGTGGCTCAGGTCCTCGTCGGGAGTGAGATGGGGATACAGCGACTCATCTGGAGCTGTATCACCTGACTCGGGAATCTGTCGGGGCTTGATCAAACCGTGCTCACGCATGTTCTGAATGAGATCAGGCAGGCGATGCTCGCGCAGAGAGCCTCCGGCGACTTCGCTGACCTCGGGGAGGAGCAGGTCGAAACATGCCACTGTCTCTCCGGTTGTGTTGCTGCCATCGGCGACTTGCGAAGGGGCCATGTAGAACGGCTTGACGGATTTCGGGTAGTCTGTCACAAAGACAGGACGCCCTTGATGGAGCACCTCGACGATATACTTTTCATGCTCAAGTTGTAGACCTCCATCCCATGTCGGGGAATGCTCAAATGATGCTCCGTCTTCGGCGACAGCACGCTGGAGCATTTCCACTGCTTGGGTGTATGTGACCCGGTGCCATTTTGGCCCATCCATAAGATCGGTCCATCTTTGCCGTAGAGATCCTGTCGTCTCCTCTGCGGTTTCCTGGCCTGGCTCGCCAGACCGCTTTGCCGACAGGATCTCTTGGCCCACCGGAGTATTATATAGACGACGCGTTAGATCGCGTAGCAGGTGTTCCACTAACCCTGTCAGCGAGTCAAGATCGGACATGAAATTGACCTCGGCTTCGAGCATGTAGAACTCGCTGAGATGGCGTGGCGTATCGCTCTTCTCCGCCCGGAACACGGGTGTCAATGTCCAGACGTTTCCTAGCTCTGCCGCATAAGCTTCAAGGTGAAGCTGCGACGATACAGTGAGGTATTTTGGCGCTCGGAAAAAGTGCTCGTTCTCGGTGGTGGGTGTAGCGGCACCGCGTGGTGCTAATGTGAACGTCTCACCTGCACCTTCACAATCTGAGGACGTTATAAGAGGAGGCTGAACTTGTGTGAAAGCTCCATCTGGATGAGAGTGGAAGACATTGCCAAGTTGGAATATGCACTCAGATCGGAAGCGTGAAAGGAGAGAATTGAAGGGCGTTCGAATGCGGAGGTGTGGAATCTGGCGCAGGAAGTCGGGGCTGTGGTACTTCTTTTGGATTGGAAACGTCTGTAACCATATGTATCGTGGTTAGTGTGAGGAGCAACAACTGTAGAAATGCTCTTGGTCTCACCTCTGGGTCCGCTGCGCCTATAATTTTGACATCGCTTGTTTGGAGCTCATGAGTTTGCTCTTTACCCGGTGGGCAAGCTTTCCATATGCCTGATATTTCGATCGCAGTTCCAGTTGACAGACTAAAGAAAGCTCGGGTTAGTCTTCATGGACAAACAAGTCGAGGACCACAGCTCACGCGAACATACTCTGCTGCTTGCGCGGGTTTTAGAATTGCCTGTAATGGCACCACGGTCGACCCATCAGATATTTCTGCGAATGCAAAGCGTTTCTGTTTCCGTACAGATCGAATGAACCCATTCACTTTGATTTCTTGGTCCTCGAAGCTGCAAACTCCACCGTTCTTGCTGGCTTGGAGGATCTGTGCGCATCGAACAAGAGAGGGACGGGAATTAATTGAGCTTTGATTAAGTCTGCCCACAGATGTGGCGAAGGTTCGCCGCCATATCTGCATTGCTGAAGGTCCTGGCTGCTGTGAGTTGGATGATCGGGAGTTCGGAGATTGCCAGGAAACTTATCGGCATTGATGTCGGTCCGATTAGCATTCTCTGTATTTACTATGTACATTACTATAAAGACCACTGATTGTATCCTTTTAGAGCGCTGTTGCGTTGGTAGCAATTTGTTCTTCCGGAAATGAATTAATCTCCAAATAAATACATCGTTAGCTATCATTTCACTGTTATGTTCTTGAGTTGTACACCGGTTTATATATAACGGGCCACTCCTACGGTCTACCAACTCAGACAATTTGTCTTTCCCAAACGTAAGAAGGATATTAAAAAAAAAAAAAAAAGAGTCAAGCTCACCTAAAAGGTAGATACACTAATTCATTATGGGACATGCAACATAGTAGGTTGAGGTCTCGAAAAGTCCCATGGATAATTGGCCTAGCAAGTCATTAAAGCAAAAAGTGGGATTTCAACCCTACTGAGAATGAATGACGCCACAATAGGTCCAGTCAAGCTAAACTGTAGCTAAAGGAATGACTGGGTCATTATATAACCCTGAAACAAAAAAAGCAAGCAAATATTCCATGCCTCACTGCGAAGGCCGCCGTTCATAGATCTGTCTTTCCTCTTCAATCATATCAATCGCATCCGTGAGGACACCATTTGCCATGGCTGCATACACAGCCATCCTCGACCGTCCGCCCTCCTGTCCAGCCCCGTAGCCCATGTCGACAAGAGCAGAGACACATTGTTCGATTGTCCCGTCATCCGACTCAGGAACATTGGTATCATGAGTGCTGGGGAGTTCGACCCTCATTGTATCGTCCACTGGGAAGCTTCCGGGGATTCGCTCGTGAGAAGATACACCATTTCGTTCTCGCCTAGACAGCCGAGCCCATGTGTCTGCAGGACGACGCACGCTTGCGGAATGACCGAGGGGATTACGACGGCCAGTCTCCGCAGCGTTCCAATGATTTGGTTTATAAGTTTGGTGCTCAGTAACTCGACGCTTCAGTTTGACCGCATACTGGGGGTCATTGACATCTAGCACTGGGCGCACAGTCTCCTTGGCACCGGAAGAATGACCGATTTGATCTTGCATTGATTTACTATGGTCGGAAGGTCGTCTAGCACCAACGATCGATGACGGATTGCCGGCTGCCTCTAGACGAGAAGCTGGTTGAGATCCAGCAAATGCCTTCGGGGTAGGATGCAAGGGTGAACCGTGAGTTGAGAGTACCTCAGGGTGTTCTAGGTCGTTTGGTGATTGACTATGCAAAACACCAGGTATAGGTTCTGCTCCGCGGTGTTCCTGCCGATTTGAAAGAAGTTGGGCTTCCCATTGAGACACAGGTGGGAAACCAGACTCCGTGTGCGAATATGAGGAAACACCTTGATCACTCAATGGATCGTTACGCTGTGCACTCGTCTCGGGTAGAAGCGAGGGGAAACGTGCGCTAAATGCAGGATCGTCACTTGGGGAATCAAGTAGTGCGGACGGTCCCGTCTGATTATCCGTTTTGCCAGGCTTGGATGGACTATTTTGTAGCTTGATAGCAAGCGGGTAGGCAAAGGGCCCCGATGTGGTACTGTTTCGCTCAGAGGGAGCATCGGTTATATCGCTCGTCTCATCCGGGGCGCTGTCTGTCTGAGTGTCGTGTGTGGTTGTACTGGCATTGGGTGAAATCTGCACCGGACGCACACCTTCGATGGGGGAACGATACATAGGCTCAAGGTTTATCGAGTGACCATCAATGACAGCACCTTGCAATGCTTCCATTGCAGCAAAAGCCGGATAATCCGAGGGGAAATGAACGTAGCCGAAGCCTGCATGTGTTTTTGATGCGGTATCTAATGGGAGATCCACCTCGACAAGGAATCCCTTGGCAGCAAACACATCCTGTATCATCTTATCGGTAACCTTGAAACCAACATTCCCAATAAACAAGGACTTAGTTGCTGAATCGGTTTTCAATTCTCCAGACATGACGTTCGATGTCTGTGTAGCTTTCAACGGGGAATTGAACGTAGGAAGAGGCGGAGGCGCAGGTGGCCTTTGAGGCCAGTAAGTGAAGTTCGGCAGCGATGCCGGTGGTGGAGGACACGGAGGCGGGGGTGCGTTATAAGTTTGGAATGGATTCCAGGACGGAGCAGGCCATGCGGGAGGTGCCCAGTGATTTGAGTGAGGGGATGCGGGTTGACCATGACAACTTTGGATAGGGGGTACTCCTGCTTGTGCAGTATTAGATGAGTGCGGATGACCTGAGTCTACCGTTGACTTTTCGTTTCTGGCTGTGCTTGAAGAATGTGCGCCTGAGTTCTGGTACAAAGTGCTCGGAGCCGCAGATTCATTGCTTGAACTAGAGTTAAAGAACGGCCCGGTTGCTCTAGAATTTGGCATCTCAGAAGCCGGGGTCGACGCAGAGGCTGTTGGTGTAGCGCGCCCAAACTCGCTTTCAAATGCGGCAAATAATGTTCTTCCGACTTCGTTGAGTTCGGAGGCCATCATACGAAAACCATCAGCAGCATTCTCAGCAACAGGCCTTCCTGCCTGGAAGGCATCTTCTGCCATTTGCCTTCCGCCATCTGGAAGATTATTATAAGCGGTTCTTAGGTGAGCCTCAACAGTGGCGAGTAGTGTCCGCAATGAGGCTTGCACATTCTGAGGCAGAGTTCTCTGTGCAGCCTCAAATTGTTTCTGAGCATTGTGTACTTGTCGCTGTAGCTCGGGTATTTTTGATCTCCATTCAGATTGTACCATAGTGGCTCCGTTGATCAGGTGGTCTAGAACCTGTGCTGCCAAAATCTCAACGGGATGAGGGGATCGCCCTGAGTCTGTGTTGGTTGATGACCCAGTCGGTGGCGAGTCAGGTTCAGGTACTCGACTCTTCGAGTACTCAGCGTCATTGAGAATGTCTGCTAGCTCAGCTTCGAATGCTTCCATGAGAGATCGAGGCTGGTCCCTAGAGACCGACGGCGAGGTCGTGATATGAGGAGCTGGGACTTCATGTTGCTCCTCGAGAACAATAGTTTTAGAAGTAGCTTGCGTCTCGTCCTTTTCATCAGCCATGCCTTGTTTTGGAACGTTATCTTCAAATCGCTTCCACAACTCGGTCACGGAGTTTGATCGACGAATATCAAAGATGTGCATGGGGATATCTTGGGGAGAGAGTTCGACGGATTCAAGCTGTGTGTTAGTGTCTAGGGGCTCCTCAAGGCGTTGAGATAGCTCGAAAGCGGATCCAACCTAAGGAAAAGAGTGAGATTTCGATGATCGATAAACACTGTGCTGAACTTACGGTGATTGTTTCGTCATCATCATCGTCATCCATGTAAGTCAACCTTGCGCGGGGATGGTTTGACGCCAAATCATCGTAATCTGTAGCAGAGATTTGGACAACTCCTGCAGGAGTACGAGAATCCGCAGACTGCCCGGGTTGGGATACCCGAAGGTTTCTGATTTGGAAGGGTTTCAACATCGTAGAGAAGATGTACTGTGAGCCCTGCGGATCAGGAACACGAATAGGTGGGTGGCGGTGTTACAGGATCAAAAACAAAAACGATAAACTAGAGTTGAAAGAGTTGATATAAAGATATGAAATGGGTTGGAATTATGATGCCTCTTAGGCCTTGGAGACGGCGAGTGTATAAACGGGAAAAAAGATCACGAGATTCATATGCTGCCGCCTGTGGCAACACTTCCAGGTTTCAAGTTCGGATTTTTCAGAAGGAATGGGGAAATCCAAGAAATTCAACAAATTCTAAAAAGCAGGGAGGTTCAGGCAACAGGATAAAGAGAGCATGAGAGCATGATGAAGCTCTCCGGAGGATCCCCGCTCCGATCACATGACATTAGATATTCGCCTGGAATCTGAGGCGCCGACTACGGGACATTTGAATGGATTCAATGGGCAATGAATGACATTTATTATTATTGAGAGGATGTTTCCATAACGGTCGCCTAATGCCTGCGCGATCGTGCCCACTCTTTTTTTCCACCTACAGGTCTCATTTCCACGATAATACCAATGGCTGGTCTATTGGAGTCGGTACATCGCTTGAACGCTCCCGAAACCTAGCATTCCGACAACTTAGATATCACGTTGTGCCGCTCAAATACCCATAAGAATCCAATGGCGACCCCGAAGTCTGCGCCATTGCAGACCCCAGCCGGTCGCAACGTGAACAATGTCGTACTGGGCGATCTCTTGTTCAAGCCATGGAATCAATCCGTCTACCCCGAAGACCTCGTCGCCAAGGACGCCGATCGACTCTACGTCTGTCGCTGGTGCTTTCGATACTCATGCGATGAAGATATCTTTGAAGAACACAAAAGCGCCTGCGAGCATCGAATAACGCCACCAGGCATGAAAGTCTACGACCATGGCGGGTTTGCAGTGTGGGAGGTTGATGGACAAAACCACAAACTTTTCGGACAGAATCTGTCCCTTTTTGCGAAACTCTTCCTCGACCACAAGACAGTCTTTTTCGACGTCGCAACCTTCCTGTACTACATCCTCACCTTCACCGACCCGGATGACCCCGACAGCTACTTTGTGCTCGGTTTCTTTTCAAAAGAGAAACTCTCATGGGACGCGAACAATCTTGCCTGTATTTTGATCTTCCCGCCTTACCAACATAAGCAGCTTGGGAAGTTGTTGATGGGGGTCAGCTACAAGCTCAGCGGATGGGACTCAAATGGTGGGTGCATCGGTGGACCAGAGAAGCCACTAAGTGAGCTGGGCCACAAAAGTTATGTCCGTTTCTGGGCCGAACGGATTGCCCGATTCTTACTCCGCGGTAAACCTAGCGGCAGCTCCCTTGAAACCGACCAACAGAAGCCCAGCTCAACCCCTAAAGGCTCCCGCAAGAGACCTTTGCGCGAGACCATTACAGTCGAAGAACTCGGCCTGGGAACTGGTATGTTGACCGAGGATGTGATCACTGCACTCAAGAGTATGGGGTTATTTGAACCTCAGGCCACCCCGAAAAAACGTAAATCCACTCGTACAGCTGCGGAGGACAATACTACACCACCAGGTCAGATGGTCACCATTCGAAAATCCGATGTCTGGGAGTGGGCTCAAGCACATCATCTCTCCCTGGACGACCCAGTCAGAGAAGAAGGCTTTGAGGGACATTGGCCCCGCGAGAATGTGTCTGATGGGGATGGCCAAAGCGTTAGCTCGGAAGAAGACTGATTCTCCCAACGAGACAGCTTCCAAGTTTATGTACGATAGCGCTGATTACGTATTTCCATCTAACGACGACAATGAGAAGCAACGTGAAGTTTGTGCATTTTTGAATAGATTGGCTCTTGGCCCCTGACTCCGTGAGGGAATCAAGTCTTTAACCCTTTTAAACTTTACATGAACCTCCTGACTTCGTAAATGAGAAAGTGCATTACTCTTCCTGACCACCGGGGCCACCGGCACCGGATTTGCTCATCTGCCGAGCCTTCAGGAGCTCATCGCACAAGAGGAGGTTAGATGCGATGCCTGTGCTGGAAGCGATGCAGTTGCGCAGAACACGGAAGGAATCAAAAACACCCTCTTGGACGGGATCCATGGGCTCTCCAGTGACCAGATTCAAGCCGACAACGTTACCATCAGTTGCCTCGTCGTGAAGAGCAGCCAGCGAATCCTGGATATCGTGGCCTGAGTTCGCAGCAAGGGTTTTAGGGATGATCAGAAGGGCATCAGCGAATGCACCAACACCCCACTTGGCCTTACCCTTGACGGTCTTGGTGAAGGCTTGAGACTGCAGGTGCACGGCACATGCAACTTGGAATGCACCAGCTCCGGGAATGACGCAGCCATCGACAATGGTGTTGTAGACAGAGCGCAAACCATCACGAACGGCATCCTTAACCTGGTTGATGGTGTGTCCATTAGGACCCTTAATGAGGATAGTCACCGACTTAGGATCCTTGACCTCTTCAACAAATGTGAACTTCTCCTCACCAAGCTGATGCTCGTAGACCAGACCAGCCCACCCAAGAATATCCGGAGACAGATCCTCAACACTGTTCTGAGCTGTTCCACCACAGACTAGCTGCAGACGCTCCATGTTTCTGCGCTTTGCTCGTCGAAGGGCGAAAATGCCGTTCTTGACAAGAACATCCAAGCTGAGGGGATCGATACCCTTCTGGTTGATAACGACGAATCCCTTGTTGGGGTCGTTTCCACAAACCTCCTTCTTGAGGTCCACAATCTTCTGCAGCTTCGCATCCACAAACTTGCGCTCACTCTCCACCAGTTTATCTCTCTGCTCGGCGTTGGAGTAGTAGAATCCGGAGTTAATTTCCGACTTCTCGTATTCCAGACTGACGTTCAATGTCAGAATGAAAGCGTTCTCCACCCGCTTGGGCATGTCGGGGTGCCTGGCACCGTGGTCCAAGGCAAGACCGCGAATAAGCTGGGTATCCGATGACGACCGGTGTTGCATCGTCATGATCTCAACCATGTGCAAATCAGGCTTCTCAGGGGCTTTGTAAATGGCGAGCACGGCATCGACGATGTCGGGGGTAAGCTTCTCAGCGAGAGCACTGTTAAGCTTGGTTGAGAGGGAGGTACGGGCGACAGAAAGCAACAGCTCCCGGTCAATGGGGCGCTCGAGCTTGAAGTTTTCTAGGAACTGTAGGTAATGTGTTAGACCCATCTGGACATTCGACTTTCAATCTGCAACACATACTTTCAAGGCCTCGGTCTTGGCAATCTCGTAGCCATCAGTGATGACACGGGGGTGCAGACCCTCGGAGATATGACGCTCGGCTTGCTTCAAAAGCTCTCCTACTAGCAGGACGACAGATGTTGTTCCATCACCGGTGATATCATCTTGTGCGGTCGCAGCGCGAGCGATCATAACCTTTCAGTTTTGTCAGCAACACGTATCAGACTCTGAAAACAATTTCATCTTACAGCTGTGGGGTTTTGAATTTGCTGTTTAATGTTAGCTCGCAAGCTCGAAATGCTGGGATTCTGGGGGCAAAACGAACCATTTCCCGCAACAGAACGTTTCCATCCTTGGTTAATTTGATCTATAATAGCAAGCTTGTATCAGAAAAGGGATGTTTGGTGTCGTTCGAGAGGAATCGGGGGTTTCGTACTGCGCCTGCACCATCAACCAGCCTGAGTTTTGTCAGTTCCGTTGCCTTTGTATGTCAGGTGTATTCGGAGAAAACTCACATCTTGAGAGTTCCCGAAGGACCCAGGTTGGACTTGAGGACATCCTGAAGACCTTCACCGGCACCGATGTTTACCTTCAAGGCCTCTCCTCTCCGCTGCGTGAAATGTTAGTGTGCGGGCATATCATTGAGGGGCCATCTGGGAATATTTTCCATACCCTCGACTCCGCCTTGGGGTTAAGTAGTTGAGTTGCAGACATCTCCCAGGTAATGAATGGCAGGGTATCACGTCCAGTAACTCAAAAATATTAAATTAAGGGATGATAGAGAGCTTGTTCCACGTTAGGTCCGCGGCCAAAAAGCCCACATTCGAGCATCGATATGATCACGTGGTTATATCAGCGGGACGGGTAAACGTCCGCTCCGAGGCCGACCGTCATACCTCCGGTTCGCTGCCTTAGGATTCGCACTAGCGGCGAGAAAAAAAAATTGTCCATTTCCAGCCGTCGCCAACCTCACCAGCAACCCCATCGAATTGCACTTTGCGAGGTTTTCTGGCCGGTGTTACAAGTTCTTATCATTATTTTGTGATTGACCTTGTATTGGCGCTAACACGATGGCCGATTTCCTACTTTTCGAGGGCCCTATGGGTTACTCGCTTTTCAAGGTTACCCACCAGGGTGATTCTGTTGGCAATGCCTTGAAGGAAGTTCAGGAGGGTGTCAATGACCTTGCTAGGTTCGGCAAGATGGTCGAACTTTCCAGCTTCTTGCCCTTCGAGTACGCTCTATCTATCTAAACGAAAAGGTTTTCATTTTTTTATCGCCCACTAACAATTTCTAGGAACAACAAGCAGGCTCTTGGAGAAATCAATGACATCTCCGAAGGTGTCGCATCCGATACTCTAGTTTCTTTCCTTGAATTGAACCTCCCCAAGCCGAACAAGAAGAAGAAGGTGATCCTGGGTCTTGCCGACAAGGCTTTGGCAGGAAGCATCAAGTCCGCTTTCTCATTCGTGGAATGTGAGACTGGCGATACCAGCGAGGTCGTTCAGGATATGCTTCGTGGTATTCGTCTCCACGCTGGTAAACTCCTCAAGCAGCTGCGCGATGGTGACATGGACACTGCCCAGCTCGGTCTCGGTCACGCTTACTCCCGCGCTAAGGTAAAGTTCTCCGTCCAGCGTGACGACAACCACATCATCCAGGCTATCGCCATTCTGGATCAGCTCGATAAGGCCATCAACACCTTCTCCATGAGAGTTCGCGAATGGTACTCGTGGCACTTCCCCGAGCTCGTCAAGATTGTCTCTGACAACCAGCGCTACGCCGAGCTCGCCCTTTTCATCAAGGA